AGTAGTGTAGGCCATCGAAAGTAAAAAAAACGAATCGAAATATAGATCTGTATTTTAATCAGATTGAAAGTCAAATAAACCGTAGACATTAAAGTAGAGATCCCATGTTATGGTATAAAATTCATGAAAGATTCACCATATCATGAATAATAAATTCGTTGCTGTTGACATATGTTTCGGATAATTATTTCTTGGGAATGTTGCCCTTGTTATGCCGGCGTCTGTTTCAATTTTTAGTACATGAGTACGTATCAAATTTTAACTGGTCGAGATAATTTTGTCACGAGTTGCTGCCCATGATCCGTTTAGTGCCTTATAAATATATATAAAATGAAGATTAAAACAACGGGACAACATTTGCTATCAAAACTAAATTTCTGTTTCGTTTTCCAGCAACCTAACTTTATCGTTAGTACAGGACTTCCGGTAATTGGAAATCTTAAGATATCGCTACGCCACAAACTAAGTAGCTCACCAGTTACCCCAGTGATTATTAACTATCTCCCTTTGGTCCGTTAAGAACAGAAAATAATGAACGTGGTCGTTCTCAATCTACTTCCGGTTGTAAGCATTATTTAGTAATCAAGGACTCAATTATCCTTGAGCGTTCAAATTAAATATCGAACAATGTCTTTCACATGCAATCATCAAATACCGTAGAGAAGACAGTCTTGTCCGAGGCGATGCTTATTATTTTTTGAATTTCATAGATAACAACCAATACTAGTTAATGCCCCGAGGCAGTAAGCACGAGTTGCTAGGTTTATTATTACTGACATGGACGTCAAAACATATCAGGTTTTAATCATATATTATTAACAAAGATTCATTTTCCTTCTTGAAGAAGAGGTTCCATCTCAGATGATTTGGCAATTTCAATCAATATTTAAGATTCTTCCAGGAAGACGAGGTACATTAGCAATACCAATCAATATTTTAGATTCTTCCAACCATCTGATGTTTCTTAATGATCTCAAACCTTTTTCAGGAATTAAACGTTAAAACTAGTAAATTCAGTTTTCCAGACATTTTCCCGATGTGCCCCCTCCCCCCATGGCAGTGGTGCAGGACAGAGGGCCTGGCAAGGAACAGCGTATAGTCGTTCGGGTGGGTCGAAAAACCGTGGTACCGTGTACGCATCAGTGTGCACGTAAAAGATCCCCTGACAGTTGGAATTCGATATAACAGTAGGCTATATCGATCGCCACTGTTTGGGAATAATTTTCCTCATAACACACTATATGGCAAAACAGTAGGACGTTAAACCCAATTTCATTTTATTTTATTACATGTCATTAAAGACAAGAATCCAGACCAACCGCTGCAGTAGTTCCTACTGGATTACCACGTTACATAAGCTTCCAATTATTACACCATTATTCAATGATGAATTTTGTATACACGGTAAACTGGCTTTTTTGTGAATGTTACACCAGTGGTGGGATCTTTTACTTTAATACTGGGGGTTGGGTGGTCTAATGGTTTCACAAGGTCTAGCATTGAGTCAAATGACGTGGTTTCGCTTCCCCGCGTGTGGGGTCGCCTGTCCTCCACCCCCTCCCCTTTTGTTATGGTGGATAATCAAAGCTACTTCCGGACTTTGTTGACAACAGAGAAGTCATATAATAAAATCAAACACACATGAGTCATCTAAATGAAATTGATGTTTGAGATTACCTTATATTTAGAAGGTTCTGTTACTGTTGGTTGTATTCAAAGCCAGTTCCTTGTTTTGTATCAAATATATGTGGCAGACAAGTAAGTGGAACACGTCCTATTTTTCTGCAGCGATTAGGTTAAGGTATATGGAAAACAATCAGTGGTTTTAGGAGCAATGGTGGCTCAGTGAGTAAGGGGCTGTCTTGGAAACCAGAATGGCGCTGGTTCAATCCTGGTAATTCTGTTTTCGACTCAAATCGGCCACTCCGTTCAATCTTAGCAGTGGTGATGACGTCATCCTTGGTTACAGGTCAACTTGCATTTGCTTCCTTACCAAATTTATTTGTTATTTAGTTTTATATTTTGCTTGAAGCAGGACAATTATTTGTCTGTATTTAGGTCAGACATAAAATGGCCTGGTTAACAGGATGCCTTTTGGGTTGTTTAGTGCACCACACCGTACCAAAGACTCATAGAAGTGTGTTTAGGTGATCTTCAATTAAAGTTCTCAGACAGTGAACGGATATAGACAAGGAAGACATTCATTTCATATTTACTTTATAATTTGTGTTGTTAATTCCAACAGAGCATTGCCTTACATTTAAACCGTAAATTAACCTCAAAATCATTGATCCAAACGTATACCTAATATAGTCGAGAGAACAGTATTGGGTATACAAAATTCCTAATTATTAACCTCAAATATTAAGTGGAGGGGGTCGCATTACACGCTAAACAAAACCGACAAGACAAACCTGCGGATAAGACAAACTATAGACACTGTAAAACAAGAGAGAGAGAGAGAGAGGGGGAAGAGAGAGAGAGGGGGAGAGAGAGAGATGTGGTTTAACGTCCACTCGACACAAACTAGGTCATTTCGGGACTAACATATGGTTTAGTTTTATTTCAATAATTCGCTTGCGCGTAGGGGTCTTTAGCAGTGGGAGGAAACCGGAGGACCCGAAGAAAACCCACGAAATTGGACAGGCGGCCCTACTCCTTGTCACGTACAACCGGGGATTCGAAACCACGCCAGTTGACTCAATGACAGGCTTTATGATACAGCACGCACGTGCTAACCATTCGCAACATAAACAACAAATATAAAACCAAGTGAATGGCTCCGGGGGTCATTCAAATTCCTAAAATAATTTATATAAAAAAAACTACGAACGTGTTCAACATCGGTTTGGTAACCTTTGTGGCTGTCACTGTGTGTAGTTCTCTCTGGCCTCGGGCTTAAAAGGTACTGTGCTGAGAAGATTACCTCCCTTCTTTTATTTTTCCTTCTCCACGGTGGTTCAGTGAGTAAGGTGATGGCTTAATATCCAGGATATTCCCGGGTGCGATTCCAGTGCTGCCCTAGAAATTTCTCCGGGATATTCCCCCTTGTCAGTTGTGCAGTGCGGAATGCCTTACAAGATCAGCTGTCTAGTCGTTCGCATGTGACGAAAAACCGAGGCCCCGTGTACCCATTGACGTGAACTTAAAAGATCCCTTGGCAGTTGGAATTCGATATAAGAGTAGGCCGTAGTGCCGCTGCCCGGGCAAAATTAATTCATAGAACACTGCATGGTGTATGTCCGTCTCCATTAGCCCAGTCAGAACAGAAGGGTGGGGCGGTGGACCCCATTTCATTTCATTTTATTACTTTTATTTTCCACGGTGGGTCAGTGTGTTAGATACTAGCACAACGTCCATGATATCCCGGGTCGATTACATTCTGCCCTAGGAAGTTCAAGCACGATTCATCAGCTTCAAGTCGTCCGGATAGGACAGAAAACGAAATCTCGCGTTCAGGTTGACGGACACCTAATAGAACCCTTGACAATTTAAATGACTACGGGATTGCGTAGAGTAGCCTGTGTCTAACCGCGTGGGTTTTCTCCGGGTCCTCCGGTTTCCTTCCACTGCTAAAGACCACTACCCGCAAGCGGCGCAAGGGAATTATTGATATGAAATCGAACGGCCATAACCCCGAAATTACCTAGTTTCTGTCGAGTGAACGTCCAACCCCCTCTGTCTCTCTCTCTCTCTCTCTCTCTCTCTCCAATAGGGGGGGGGGGGTGACCGAATGGTTAGCACGTGCGTGCTATATCATACGGCCTGTCATTGAGTCAACTGGCGTGGTTTCGAATCCCCGGTTGTACGTGACAAGGAGTAGGGTCGCCTGTCCAACCTCGTGGGTTTTCTCCGGGTCCTCTGGTTTCCACCCACTGCTAAAGACCCCTACGCGCAAGCGAATTATTGAAATAAAATTAAACCATATGTTAGTCCCGAAATGACCTAGTTTGTGTCGAGTGGACGTTAAACCCCATTTCTCTCTCTCTCTCTCTCTCTCCCCAATAACCTAATTGTGAACTCGGCTATTTCTTGAGTTTACAAGACATGCAATCTTGCTCGGTTTTTTTTTAATTGATGGATGAGACAGTAGAAGCATTTCAGTTACATATATATGTATAAAGAGATTGGTTTATTGACCAGTGTAAATATTAGTTATATTTTTTATGGTTTCAGTGATGACAGTTGTAATAAATTACTCAACAAGGAATCACAACGATTTCACTTATCATTCAGGATATTGAACTGTTCAGGATATTGAAGTGTCTCGAACCCGGGATATTGAAGACGGGCATACGCGCGCGCCAACACACACACACTTCTATTATTCTTGTTCTCATTTCCACTTTGAACCCGGCCAACAAGGTTCCCTGTGGCGTATGTATGGTTACCTGGCAACCTATGTTATAGGTTTCTTTTAACTTATTTTCTATTTGATTAAAGATGCATAATGCAAGGTTTATATAAAGGGATGTTCGTTCTTTCTATAATAGTTTAAAAATGGATAATGAAAACTGTACATATTGGGAATTTCAGTCAAATTACTTTATTCTGCACGAAGTTATGAGTTTTTGAAGTTTTGACTAAATGCAGAGTAATTGTTTATTATCGTAGCTACGGTACTTGACAACCGAAATTAATTTCCGATTATCTGCTGTATCTTTAAACACTTAAATTGCCGCTGTATTCTCATTTACTTAAAGCAAGGTCTAGAGTTGATTGTGGGCTTCTCGTGTTAATAAATAAAGACTTAATTATAATTTATGTAACATTCATGCATCTTTAAGCTTCCGAAAGACCAGTTGTGATTGCAAAACTGTTTATTTAATTTCATTCTATATCTTTTCAGATCCGTCAGACTGGATTTAGGAACGACTGCCGCCATGTTGGGCGATAACTCTAGCTACCACCCATTTCTATACAATCTGAAATTTTCCCGACAACATAATGTTAGTAGTTATCACAAGGTTATGTCGGAATTTACGGAATCGGATCATTGGATGAAACCGGATGTTGAAGCCATTTTGATTGCCGCGTACTGCCTGATCATTGCGGCGGGAATATTTGGAAATACTCTGGTCTGCATAATAATATTTAGAAACACTGAACTGAGATCATCTCGAAATCTGCTGATTCTAAACTTGTCTATTTGTGACATATTTATGGACGCTTTGTGCATGCCGTTTTCTCTTGTTCGCTTGACGTTAAAAAACTGGCCGTTTGGGGAGGTTTTGTGTAAGTTGATCCCATCCCTCCAGACTGTGGATGTCTTTGTGTCGACCCTTACAATCCTAGCTATAGCTATAGACAGATTCAGAGCCATTGTTTGCGCCAGTAGAGATAGAAGAAAGAGCAAACGCATAATTTACGTCATAATCGCTATTTGGGTCATCTCCATCATCTTCTCCCTTCCCATGCTCCTCTTCCACACTGTAGATACGGTTGACGTGATGAAATTCACCATGTGTGTAGAACGATGGCCATCATATCACCTGCGAGGCGCGTTTGCTTGTTGCGTCATGGTTTTACAGTATCTCTCACCAACGTTGGTCATTAGCTGCCTTCACGCACGTATATGTAGCTTCCTGCACAAGCGCATTGAAGAAAACCCGGTTACTCAGACGGAAATAAATCGTGCTATGAGGGACATGCGCAGACATCGACGCAATCTCCTATTGTTGTCGGCCATAACTATCACTTTTGCTGTGACTTGGCTTCCGTTAACTATTCTGAATATCACGGCTGATTTTAATCAAAACTTATTCCATGAAAAGGATTTTAACCTGATATTTGCTATTTGTTTGTTAATTGCCATGGGTTCATCGAGTTTAAATCCGGTATTTTACGGATGGTTCAATCTAAATTTTAGAAATGGATTCTACCAATTGTTGTGTTTTGCGACACCTGATGTATTGCCCACAGAGAGAAGCAGTTTAAACAGCAAAGAAAAGAGAGAGGCGAGCGCGATATACGACAGCATCAGATCCAACCAATCCAATCAATCCAACCAATCTAATCGATCCAACCCACCTAACCAATCAAATGGCTCAAATCATTCGAACGAATCTAACAAATCCAGTGGATCAAAATCGAAGAAATCCAGCACCGGTTCAAAATAAGTGTGTTTTCTGCGATATCACGCGTCGGTTATTTGGATGTTAAGCCCTACTTAGAAATTATATCATTCATATTGTTTAGTATGATCGTAGAACTCTGGTTGTTTTTATTTGGACTCGATCTCCGTTATGACGTGTAGCTACTCAATACACATTTGGAACTGATAATGATACGGTTAAAGACTGTTATGTGGAACATCAAAGCCTGCGAATATTGTGATTAAAAAAAACGTGGTTCGAATTATTAAGATGTTGCCGCCAATTGCGTGAAAGAGTGGCCTACAGTATCGGACAAAAGACATCAAGCCTGCGAATATTGTGATCAGAAAAAACGTGGTTCGAGTTATTAAGATGTAGCCGCCAATTGCGTGAAAGAGTGGCTCACAGTATCGGACAAAAGACATCGATACGAAATAATCGAAAACTATAATTTATGTTTGAGACGACACTTGATGATGCTATAGCATACGTTCTGGAAAAAAGCTATATAGAAATATTTATCAAGTCGAAAGGAGTAAAATATCAATAACAAATGAAACTTTCAAACGAAAAGCATGGCAAACGCGGTTTTAAGAATGAAGGCACGTTTAATTTGATATTAATTCCAGAAACCCTGAAGAACCAGTTGTCAAATGGAAGAAAGGGGCGCCTGTTTGTCGCGTCTTCGCCTTCCGCACCTCATTTGAAAATGGTGGCATTTTTGTTAGTTGGTAATGATATTTTGTAACAGAATGTTTGTATATAGTATCGTATAATTGTTTTGGGATTTTTTTTATTTTATATGTATATATCTCCAAATTTGGAAGTTATCTTTATATTCTTTGAAAACTGTGCCTATGTTGTGACAATGAATCTACAATGAACGTGTCTTTAAGAGGCTACTGTGTCAGTATTTGGGACTGTGTACATGTGTCTTTAAGAGGCTACTGTGTCAGTATTTGGGACTATGTACATGTGTCTTTAAGAGGCTACTGTGTCAGTATTTGGGACTATGGTTATGTATATGTATATATTTGGGACTCTTGTGTGCTTTTTTTTATTAATTAAGGACAGAGTTTATGTGCATATGTATTGGGACTTTTTGTTAGGATGGCCTAGTGGTCTGGGGTGCCGCGCTTCGACCTCTAGCTGGCCGGTCACCTCTGGCTTGCGGCTGTGGTTTCGATCCCTGGTGTGAGCGTATGTGTCTTGGAAATAGGGGCGCCTTCTCAACCTCGTGGGTTTACTCCGGGTACTCCGCCCCCCCCCCACAGGAAAGACCCCTGCGCATGCGCTGAGATAATGAAAATAAAAAATAAGACTTGTCTGCGATATCACCTTCGGTGGAAGCGGACGTTAAACACTAAGAACAACAACATCTTGTATGGGGATTGTGCATATGTGTACATGTATATATTTGGGACTCTTAATGTCTTTGGGGGGACCATGTTAGTGTGTATATAATGGGGATTCTCTGTCTGTTACTGTTGACCGTGTTTATATAATATATTCAGATATATTCAGGAACTGGGTTTATATGTATATACCCGGGACACTTTGTGTTTTTAATTGGGGACCGTGTTTGTGTCTCTTCTATCTGGAAAATGTGTATATATTTCTACATTAAATTGACTTTATTCGGCAGATGTGGATACATTTGGACATTTATGAGACTTTACTTGGGAAATGTGTATTTTAATTATATTTGGACATGATTTATGTGTTTGTGTTTTGGACATCCTGTTTCTTATTCTCTTTCCATTTGGATAGCGAAAAGCGATGACTGTGTATTTTTTATCTATTTAATTGGGTCTAGTTTTGACATTTTTCTGTAAATATTTAAACTGTTAGGAAATATGACACACGTGCGAAATTGATATTTTTTGACTAGAAGCGAAATCATCATTTATTTTTAGAAATTGATAGATACTATTAGGATTGGAGATAGATGTAAATATATATATATATACAATGTATATATATTTGGAAATATATATTTAAAATTGATGAAATGTTTAAAACAATGTTTCAGGCCTATTTGGAATCGATGGGCCTTAACGTATATTTTTAAGTAACGCACACTTTATTAATATGTATTTGGAAATGTATGTTTGAAATTGTAGAAATGTTGGAAACAATGGTTCAGGCCTATTTGGAATCGATGGGCCTTAACGTACATTTTTAAATAATGCACACTTTATTGGTGTTTTTTTTATAGAAAGTAGATTTCGTTTTCTCTATGCCTTGAATTGTAACATCAAAGAGCTGCTTTACGATACGGTTAGGGCTAAAAGCCAAGATCCATTGCAGATTTCGTCATGGGTCACGAGATGTAAATAGGGTTAGAATAAGAATTATGGTGAGGGCACGGGCTAAACCTAATCTTAATCCACAATCTGGTCAACAAGCACGTGCCCTAAGCCTATTTACATCTCGTGACCTATGACGAAATCTGCAATGGCTCTTGGCTTTTATCTCTTACCTTTACCATACCGGTGCTTCTAAACTTTAATATTTACATTACGTTGAATAAGGGTCCGTTGCAAAAGTTCTTAACCAGCGGAACTGGGTAGATGGGTTAAAAGACAGCGCGGATAGAAAATGATAAATTAACTGACGGTCTTCAAGTGGCATCAAAATGCCAGTAGTTTGTTACTCCATAAGCGCGGGTGAGCACGTGGGTGGGCGGTTTGAGATCTATACGCAATTTATTCATTTGGACACAAGCGCTTAAATTTTGCGACAATTCTCTGGGGCTAAATGTTTCTGTAAAGCCCAGCGCATATGGGTGACATGTGCGTAACAGCAATTGACAGGCGAGGATCCGGGCTAACAGCGAACCTCTTACTAGTCAAAATGCCCCACCCCCACCCCCAACTCCCCTTTGATAAAACCCACATTACGGTACGCAGATATTTTTATAAGATCGCTTGGTATTTTATCTTGCGCTGATTATTCAAATAAAAACGTTGTACTATGATAAATTAAATGCCGTATCAATTTGGACCAGTTAAGTTATTCTACCAGTTCAGTTAAAACGAAATCAAATTCAAGGGGAACAACTCTGTTCACTTTGATTTGTTATTAGACGGACACAGATCACTAAAGACTTCCCCATTGACTCCAATGTTAATTCTCGTATCTTAGACCGGCTCTAACTTTTTCCCAAATTTTCGTTGGGTAGAACGCTTTCTACCACAGATGGAGCAACATGTGGCAACCACTTGCCAGAAAGCACGTATGAGGTTCTTCATGAAAAACTTGAGATACACAAGCTGGAAGTAGAGACAAGTAAACATGCAATTTCAGGCCCTACATTTCAACCTAACCAATCTCTCAACTCTTGTATCCTTCCGCATCAAAATTATGAATATTCACCAAAACCTGTCAGAAAATGTATTTTCAAACCCTTTTCCTCGATTCTACACCAAAAAGTCAACAAAAATCGCCATGCAAAAGGGGGAATAAGGAAAAGGGAGAGGAAGACTAAAAATAGCTTTGGCCCTTGTTTCGTGGTGATCTGTGTCCAGACGAGCAGTTCTTTGTCCTTTGACTTCATTGACAAATATGGATATAACATCAGGGGGTGTAGCCTTTTTTTCTCAAAATTCTGTTAGTTGTTATCCTTGTTTGCTCAATTTTGAAGGTGTTGATATTGGCTTGGGTCCAAATGCCACTTACAACCCATAGATTGATCTTCACAAGAAGACTTATTTCATACGATATCCTTTAGCCATAATAGCGGATTTAGCTCTTACATAATGTATCATTAAGTTTAATAGACTCGGTTTGTTTATAATGCATGTGGACGCGTCACTACCCTAGCTTAAAATCTACATCGAGTGTGTTGGGGTTTTTTTTTCAACTAGCTTCAAATTAAATGTCTTGGACGGATTTTAAAACCAAGGGAAATAACTCGATAATGACTATTGGATATCTTTAATAATACGAACGATGACTGCTGGATAATATGTTCTATAGAAACATTCAGTTCTTGTTGTACATATTTATATATTTATTATTTATTTAATTAATTTATTTATTTACTATGATAGATATGTTGATTTATATTTTGTATTTCTAATGGTTACATTTAGTCCGAGGGGAGATAATTCGATTTTATGTACACTGTAGTTGAAATTAACTACTGTATTGTTTGTGCCGACAACACCTCAGATTGTAGTAACATACTTTAAATTCGTCAGACTCCAGTAATAACTGGTTAAGTTAAAGATACATTATGCGAGAATAGATAACGAGTTGGCAGTGCTCACTATAATAGTTAAAAACTACATAATGTAAAGGCAATTTGCTGAAAATTTCAGCCAAATTGATCCACTGTGAACCGAAAATTAAGCGATTGAAATTTCGACATTACTAATGTCGGTACGATAAAAAAAACATAGTCTCTGTTATCCATTTCATGATTAAATCATGAATGAAAGTTGAGCAGCAAATCGGATCACAATCCAGTAAATATCCCAGGCTAACGATGACATCGAGAGTTGATTATGGTCTGGATAAGTTAACCAATGTCTAATTAAAAATTTAGATAACATTTCAGGTCTCAAGAAAGACCTGCAATAGGCAGATTTAGCTCTTGCATAATGTATGTTTAATTTTATACTCTAATTTTATTGTAAATCTTGTGTGAAAAAAATGACTTAAGGCGGATTTTGCTTTAAGTCATATGTGTATTATTATATGTTACCCAAGTGAAGTGGATAGCCCACTCTATGAGACGTCAGACTCACTCTTACGTCACTCTTTTCTGACTAAATACTGAAATCAGAAAGTGTCGTGACGTGAGAACAAGTCTGATGTCATTTAGAACAGATTATTCGGTCATCCTTGGCAATTGTTTTCGAACCCCCACCGTACTCTGCATACCATACCCGGTCATTACGCACAGATGTATGATTGTGAACGATCACGCGAAAGCATTTAGTAGTGCGTGCATCATGATTATAATGATGCCTTGATCCGATAGGCTATATCTGTGGGCCGTTTGCTTGTATGACTGTTGTTTGTTGACCACGTGTGGTCTGATGTTTCCCCTTGGCAAGAAATGTATTCCGTTTATGTAATGCTTCCCCGCTATCCTTATCAGCCAATCCAAAACCTTCCGCCTTATAACTTAACCTCCATATCATTCGACCCACTCATTCAAGATTTTCCGTGAGTTCAGAAAAAGTGTCAGTTCCCATGATCTTTCGAGAACCAAAACATGGCATGATTACCCACTCTCGTTTCGTTGAGGCAAAGGTCGAATGCACGAAAGTACGAATACCTACAACATGCTACATGTGCAAGTCGTGGATTCGATCCCGGGTTTATACGTAACAATAATTAGGATCGCATGCTTAGTGTTCTATTGAAATACGATTTCTTCCATACTCCTCGCAGTGTTTCGTTTGATTAGACCTAATCACACATAACACTGCGGTAATATATTTTTCAACATTTTATTATTTCGGCAATATAATCTCATGATCTAATAGAAGGATGATGAATTTTTGAACAGCAAATCGTAAAAACTAAATAGTGTATTTTATGCTAGCATAGTAGTCATATACATCTGTCTATACTTGACAAACGAATCAAGTGATATTTCAAAGAGCCAAAAACAAATAGTATA